TTGACTAAGCATGCTTGTAGCGACAGTGGAGAGGAAAAACTCCCTTTGAACAGGAAGAAACCTCCAGCAGAATGAGCGGCCATCTGCTGAGGCTGAAACTTTGTCAAAATTGTATTGATTTTTTATCATTTGCTTTGCCCTAAAAAGGATGGTTTGATTTTTCTTTGCCCAGCACTTTAAATTCTAATAAAACCTTTTTAAAGTTTGTCATGGTGACAAAAAAAGGCTAAAACGACAGCACTGTGCACAACAGCACAAGTGAAGAAAATATATAAATGGATAAATAGATACTTACAAGTTTAAGCTGAATGGGCAGCATATAAGTCCTGGTTTCATTGACTGCTGAGGGTGATTTCTTCAGAAAATCCAAACAACGGGCTCCGAAAGAGCCCAAAAAGCTCCAACCTAGAACCTGCAGCACGGCTGAGTTTACTCTGAAACAACAGCAACCAGTGCAAACCTGCCTCCTTTATGTTTTGTTTAAACATCCACTTCTGTTGCTAAAGCAGACAGCGATTGCGCCTTAAACGGCAAAAGGAAAGTTAGCCCTCAGTTTAGTCTGATAGGTGGGGGAGAATTCCAATTAATTTCCAAAAAAATCTTACTTTTTTAACCTGAGCTCATTTACCTGTATTTTCCAAAGTGGTAAACTAAGTTAATATTTTAAAGATAACGAGTAAATATAATCTAAAGCAAACATTTCATATAGTTACAGCCCAATCTTAGTCCTGTCTATCAGGACCTGCTCAGGGTTTAGTGAACATTGTTCCTTCCTGTGTTTCATTCAGGAAAGGCAGTTCATCACCGCCGGGTGTAGTCCCCTCGGTGATATATTGCTCCTTATTCTCTCTTGTTTAGGCTTTTAAGCTAAATGTGGGCTGAAAACTATGTCTTACTAAATTAAAAATAGAAATCTGCGGGTGAAGTGAGGCGTTTGAAACAGTGGCGGTGTGTAATGTAACTCTTTCCGCTGACCCGGAAGAGAATCCGTGTGGGACAAGTGTTTCCGGAAGACGTGGCTGTTGATGCTGTGGTAGCTGCTGTCAGCCAAACCATTGGAAAGATTCAACAGATTGTTTTTATTATTTAGTTTTTTTCTTTTTTTGTTTTAAAGCTGAATTCCTGATTGACCATCGAGATGATTTCGCTTTCGGATTCACAAAGTAAGACTTTAACAGTTTTACAGGAACTAAAGCTTCCAGCTAAATGTCAACATGATCCAATCTGAGCTCCTGGAGCTTCAATCTAAACTCATTTATTAAAATTGCAGCCTGACGGCAGCCGCCGACATGTTTCATGACTAGAAAATTAAAATCTAAATAAACGAGGATGTTTAAAGCACTCTATTATTATTATTATGATACTTCTTTAAATAGTAATCATGTCAATCTTCCTACTGATGGCATGGCAATGATCACACCTGGAAATACTTGGAAAAACAACAAGATTTGAGAATTTATATTGTTATTTTGTTCAGAATCCAAATTTTTTTTTTTTCATAAACAAGAAGATTTCCAGTTTCTAAAAATCAATGAAACACACCAGATAATGTATAAAAGTTAATTGCTGTTGTTAGTAGAAGGTGGCAGTTTGGTGAGATGTCCACACAATAAAGGAAAGTCAAGTGGAAGGAAAAACGTTTTTGAGTAGTTTGTGAACAGAAGGTACAGGAATTTGAGTTAGATTCCCATGGTGCCACCCGACAACATGAGTCACCCCAAGGCAGAAAATATTCAATCACATCCTACAGGCCAACTGGTCAAATGTAGGAATGGGTGATATGAGAATATTAGAATCTTACCTCCCAGATTAATCATTGAGTTTAATTTTTAAGAAATTACAAATTCAATATGTTGCTTTCAAAAGCTAACTTATTTCAAATTGATAAAAATTCAAGCTGTGAAAAAGCTTGTAAAATAATCATAAAAAACAATTGGTGACAAAAATCTAGATTTTCCAAAAAATGTAATCTTCATCAATAAAAATAATTAATTAAGCTGTAAAGGTGATTAATTGCTCAGCACCTTTAAAAGGTTTTCTAAGGAAAACCACCTGATTGCACCCAGACATTGACTTGCAGGATTTGCTGCTGGTGGTTCAGCATGTGGCCACAGTAGATGTTCGCTCGCATTATGTTGTTGATTCTACAGCAATCCTTCACACTAACCATGGAGTAATGGTGGGGAGGAAAATCTATTTTTAATAGAAAAAACCTCCAGCAGGACTAGGCACAGGGTGGATGGCCTTCTGCTGCTATAAAATAAAGTAGAAGCCTTGATCCATTAATACTTTACATCGTATTAAAGCTAACAGTAAACTAGCTCCACAGGTTGAAGCTAAACAGATCAGCTCTGAGCCTGTTTTCATCTCAAAAGGATGAAAGAGAGCACATAAATAGTCCGAGTAAAAGCTGAGCTCAAAGGAGAAAAACAGGACTAAAGACTGAAAAAAAGGCCAAGCTCCAACATCTAGAAACAAAGGTGTTGATGGCAGCAGCAC